TATTATTATTAGTCACAACAACTCAGTAAACATTTATTGACTGACCATATACTCTGTGCTTGTTGTTGCAATGGATATACAAATGTTTGGGCACAGGCCTTGTGATGGTTTATGTGTTAACTTGGCTAGGTTGTGGTACCCAGTTATTCAACCAAATGTTAATCAAGGTGTTGCCATGAAGGTATATTGAAGATATATGGTTAATATCTACAATCGGTTGACGTCAATAAAGGAGATTATCCTTGATAATGTAGGTGGGCCACACCCCATTTGTTAAAGCCTTTACAGCAAAATTGAGGTTTCCCTGAAGAAGGAGAAATTCTGCTTCATGTCTACAAGAGTCTGCACCTGCCAACCTGCCCTATGGATGTCAGACTTGCCAGACCCCACAGTTACATAAGCCTGTTTTATGTTTCTCTGGAGAGCCCTGACTGATACAGGCAATCACTTAAAAAACAATTCAAATAATTTTCCTCTTCAAATTTAATACAAAATTATAATTAAAAAATAGATGACAGAAATTGAAGAATTATTCTTGGGAAGTACGATATTATTTTTTTTTTTTTTTATTTTTATTTTTTTGAGACAGAGTCTCGCTCTGTTGCCTAGGCTGGAGTGCAGTAGTGTGATCTTGGCTCACTGCAAGCTCCACCTCCCGGGTTCATGCCATTCTTCTGCCTCAGCCTCTGGAGTAGCTGGGACTACAGGCGCCCACCACCACGCCCGGCTAATTTTTTGTATTTTTAGTAGAGACTGGGTTTCACCGTGTTAGCCAGGATGGTCTTGATCTCCTGACCTCGTGATCCGCCCACCTCGGCCTCCCAAACTGCTGGGATTACAGGCATGAGCCACCGCGCCCGGCTGATATTATTGTATTGAAATGAAGTAGAAAGTTCAATTGGGAGTGGAGATTTTGATGACAGGAGGAGGATATAAGAAGCCCTTGGTAAATTCATGCATAAACCATTTTTGGAGGCTGAAGCAGGAGGATCACTTGAGCCCAGGAGTTCAAGACCAGCCTGGGCAACATAGCAAGACCCCCATCTCTCCAAATAGTAAAAAAATTAGCCAGGCGTGGTGACACACACCTGTGGTGCCAGCTACTCAGGAGGCTGAGGTGGGAGAATCACTTGAGTCCAGACGGTTGAGGCTGCAGTGAGCCGAGATTATGCCACTGCACTCCAGCCTAGGCAGCAGAGTGAGACCCTGTTTCAAAAAATTTTTTAAAAAGTAATAAAGTTAAATGAAATAAAATAAAAATATTAAAAATTCATGCATAAACCATTTACCAGATTACTCAAGGGCAGATAATGAAGAATCCGCTATATTTAATCTTAACACAAACTAGATATTGTTAACATGTTTCACCTTTGAAAGCATAGAATTATTAAATAGTAACGTTTAATTAAAATTTAAAATGACATGATTTGCTTTGATTCCTTAATTTTCTAGTGAGGAAACAACAAGCTTAGGGTACATTTCTGACATCATAGATTTTTTCACTTCTTTCCAGTGTTGCTCATCCAACACATTTACACAACAAGCAATAGCAATTGCACTGGGCACACTTACCAATATATGAATTTATTCAGTCTGTGCAATTGTCCCCTAAGAAATCTTGGGCTTAGAACATCAATTGGCTTATCTGAGGTCTATTAGCCAGTTAGTGACCAAGTCAGCACAGAAAACTGACTCCAAGTCTTATTTGGCCCATCCTTGTGGTATACCACATTGTTTCCCTTAACCAACTGAAAGAAACTAATTTAAGGAGTACCTGTACACAGGGAGTACCTGCTTCTCTTTTTGTGACTTTCTATAAGAATTATAGATGAGTTTTTTTTTTTCTAAGTGGGGACTCATGTTGTTAACTTAACTTGCCTTTACTAATCACCTCAAACACAGCATTCCATAAATTTCCCTCTGTCCCCATAATAAAACAACTGGATTTCTGAAACCTCTGAGGGAGAATAAATATACTGTTTTCATAGCTCCCAAAGTCTGTGCACTTGTACTGGGCACTCTCCAGGTGGCTGCATAGACAACTTCAGCTTGATTTTCATTGACTTTTGATATGCCCTGACACATATAAAAATAATCTATGTGAAATTGCTGATATTTAGCCATTTTTTACTTACACAAACATTCACTCCATGTTCTTTGATCTACGAGATCACTGAGAGAGGTGGCACAAGTACTGTTAGGTATCGTCCAAGGGCACCACACCAAAGCCTGTCCATGTCTGAGTAGTGCCGCCTGTCCAGGACTATCCACCCAGAACCTATGTTAGGTTTGCTACAAGGTCTGTTAATAACCAAACCCGCACATAACTAACAAGATTATCAATTAAGCTGCTTTTTTTGAAGAAGAGTTTTCAAAACTTCGAACATCCCTTCAGCTAACATTAGCAAACATTGTTAATCACAAATTTGGGAACAGAACATCTGTTCGTTTGGTAGAGCAAGCTCCTTTACTCACTTCACTTTTCTTTTCTTTCTTCTTTCTTTCTTTCTTTTTCTTTCTTTCTTTTTTTTTTCTCCTTTTTTCAGGGTCTTACTTGTCACCCAGGCTGGAGTGCAGTGGCACAACCTAGGCTCACTGCAGCCTCGACCTCCTGGGTTCAAGTGATCCTCCTGTCTTAGCACCCCAAGTACCTGAGACTACATGCACACACCACCATGCCCAGCTATTTTTTTTTTTTTTTTGTAGAGACATTGTTTCACCATGTTGCCCAGGCTGGTCTCAAACTTCTGAGCTCACGCGATCATCTGCCCTCCTCGGTCTTCAAAAGTTCTAGGATTACAGGTGTGAGCCACCACACTGGGCCTCACTGTTTCTAATAGGTGGATCAAATCCTCACTCAATGAACATCCTCCAAAGGACCATTTATTTCATTCAGAATTTTAAAAATTTCCATTTGCTTATTTGTAAATGAAAAAGCAGACTTTGTGTATCCCCACCATTCATTTTTTTAGAGGTTTTCTGAATCAAGGAGGCAGCATACTTTATGGCACTGTGTTAGTTCAGGCTGCTATAACAAAATACTGTACCTTAGACTGGGCCATTTATAAACAACAGACAATTATTGCTCATAGTTCTGGAGGCAGGTAAGTCCAAGATCAAGGTACCAGTAGATTTGGTGTCTGGTGAGGGCTCTCTGCTTCATCAGTGGCGCCTTGTTGCTGTGTCCTCACATGGCAGAAGGGGCAAATAGGCTCTCTGAAACCTCTTTTATAAGGGTACATTGCTTTAAGGGCATAGAAGATGGAAGGGATTAATTTTTCTTGGGGCATTTGGGGAAACCACGAATGAGTGGTGACATTTGAGATTGTCGGATAGTTGGTGAGTGAGTCAAAGGAGAATAAAAATGGAAGTAACATTAAAAGGGCACAGTCCTTGAGAGAGGAAATCCCAGCTCATATTTACCTTTGAGGTGATGAAAGCAGAAGGCAGACGCAGTTGTAGCTTCTACTGAAGGTGGTAAACAGATGTGCCATGGGATTAAACTCCAGCGGTATTTAATGGCAGGAGCCCTGGGTAGCTTCCTATGTCCTGTGGCTGGGGCATACCTAGGGCAGGGATAGACGCAATATTTCTCAAAGTGAATCAGAGTCCTTTGTCAGTGGGATAAAATGCTGATTCTCAGGCTCCTCAGCAAACCTACTGAATCAGATTCTTTTGGTGCAGGGGCCTGGAGATTTGCATTTTTAACAACCTCCCCAGAAGTTTCCTTGCACCCTCAAGTTTGAGAACCACCCTTTCAAAGTGTGATTTCATCACCCAGGAGACATTTGGTAGTGTCTGGAGACATTATTGGTCATCACGATTGTGGGGGTGCTACTGGCATCTAGTGTGCAGTATCCAGGGCCGCTGCTACACATCTTACAGTGCACAGGACAGCCCTCATGACAGAATTATCCTGCTCAAAATGTCAGTAGTGCTGAGATTGAGAAATCCTGAACTCCATCATATGAAGGGCTCTCAAGGAAAAGTACAAGAAGTGGACTGAAGTCAGTTTGTGTCACTAGGTGGCTCCTTAGGCTACTCAGACAGGGGGCGAGGGTTATGGGCTTCCAGGCCCAGTTATTGGGCCACTAAATTTTCGTAGAACTGGGCAGAGCTCACATGTGTTGAACCCATGCAGATGACACTCCTGAAGCCACCAATTCATTATTTGCTAAAGTTTTTTTTCCCCTGATACCAAAACATTTAAAATCTTTATTGAATTATCATCACAAAATTGCGGTCATTTCTTGGGGGAAAAATATGGAACTGGTTCTACACAAAGTACTCTTTGCTCAACTTGCACTTTCTTGAAATCCAAAAGGTAGATTTACATTAAAATCATGTTGGCTAAGAGTTGAAAAAAGTTATTGCTTATATGGAGTTAAGAAAGCAAACTTTGGAAATTTTTTTTGAGTCTGAGTTTGTTTCTAAGAAGCCAACTACTTCTCCAGCTCTCCTGCAATCCTGCCAAGGTGATGTCCAGCTTGTCCCTGTTCATAAGTTCAACAGATCAACCCTGTAGGAAAGCCAAACCATAGAGAAAGGTGTATGCATTTACTAAGTTTTTTTTTTTTTTTTCCTGAACAAAATGTCAGTGTGTATTGTTCTATGACAACAGTGATATTTGAAATTATGCCTCGGGCCGTCAGTAGGTAAAGATTTTTGTTCATTTGCTGCATTTCAAAATATTTGTGTGCACGTTCCCATTAAGATTTATTTTTCTTAGATTGAATATACAGTTAATCTATATAGAGATGAGGTAGGTAACAACCTCCCTTCTGGATTGTTCGTTTTAGTTAAGGTGTTACTCATAACAATTTGGTTTCCTTTCCAGTCTTTTGCAAAAATAGGGCTTCAGTGCAAGATATCCTTTTAAAAATACCCTTGGGTCCTGAGTGTTGAACTTTTCTGGCTGAAATAATTTTGCACCTTCCAAATGTTTTAATGCTGTTAGGAAGCTCTTAAAATGCAAGGATTTAAGGCCCTTAGCTAGTTAAGCTTTTAGCAGAAGTAGAGCTGTTAGATAAGAATAGAACTCATCCTTTACTTTTGGAGCTTTGGACTCTGTTTCCAGCTGCTTCCAGTCATTTGAATCCTGAAAGCTCCCCTAATCCTCGCGGAGGCAGCCTTTCTGGCTCCCAGGACCCACCCCCTTACTTCTGATTGGCGAAGCTCCTCTGCGGCTCAAGCCAGCCACCTACGACGTCTCTGAGAACTGATTTGAAATAAGAGCCAGGCGGTCCTCGCTTCCCTGCGACCGACTTTTCATAGGCTGGGGGAGAAAAGGTTGAGAAACTTGACATTGTCTCGGGCAGAGTGCGTGTAGCAACAGATCAAAGAAAAAGAGGACGAAAACGTGCTCTTTGCTGCCCGTAGATTTCGCCGGGTTGCTTTTGTCTTGCGGGATCCTGTCGGGTTCGGTGTTTCCGCTCTGAAGACTGCGGCGCGGGCTCCGATGCAGCTCGCTCCCTGCCGGATGGGTCATGGGATTCTAAACATGAGGCAGGTAAGCTCAGGCGGCTGCGCTGGTGGCGGAGGGGGCGGGCGCCGCCCGGGACCCCTGCGACCTGTTACTCCGGAGAGCTGGCTTGGTTAGCAGGCGCCTGGCTATAGTCGATGCGTTTGGCGGAAAGACGGGGCTGCATTTTTCTAAGACAACCAAAGAAGCACATTACCTGAGCTACCCCGGTCTGGCCCTCGCCACCCGCCCCCACTTTTGCCTCTAATTGTGGTTGATGTCAGGCAGTCGTTGTAAAGGGCTTACAAGCAGTTTGTAGAATATATGTAAATCAATTCCAGTTTGCGGCCGCTGGAATGTATCGTGCAGGATGTGTCTCGAGCTTTTAGTGTCTCTACCCTATGCTTTGGGCTAGAATAAAGACAGCTGAATGTCCTGGAAAAGAATTTCACGGGGCCGCTTATCTCATTTTGGTTTCGCATTCTGAGCACTTACTGTGTTTCTGGCGGAGAAGGCGGAACCAGCTTGAAATGAGCACAGGCAGTCCTTCCAGAAAAATGCAAATTTGTTTTTCTGTTGTAGCAGTTTGGAAACTGTATTGCTTCTGGATGTGAGAAGACAGCCCTGAAAACAGTGAGGGGAGAAAGGGCTGGGGGATTACTTAAATGAGTCTTTGAAAAGAATTCTAAACCAACAGCTTCTTCCGTGGCTCTGGGGCATGATGATAAAATTCCTTATCAGTCCAGGAAGAGGTTTATAGCTTTGCTGTTAAGCAAGAAAAGGAAAGAAAAAGTTGATGTAGGAAGCCAAGGAGAGGGTGTGATTTACAACTCAATCAAAGTTATGGAAAAATCTTATGTCAATATTTAAATATCAAGAGCAATACTCATATAAGGAGAAAACAAGGCCGGAAAAACATGCCAATAGGCTGGAAGGGCAGGGATTTCAAGAGGAATGCTATTGCTTTTTACCAGCCCTGAATAAATCTGAGTGGGAAAGTTAGCATCTGTATCGCAACCGGAAAAGCTCTTCACTTTTTCTTCTAAGTGGGTTGGGCGCTCGCAACCCTGCACACTTTGGGGGAAGTGAGCTTTCCATTTAGGAGCGCAGGCGAGGGATTTAGAACTTTCTGTCCCTTTCACACAGCCTTGGGAGATGAAGCAGAGCCCCCTTCGAATGGTCGAATGGTCAGCGCAAACCCTCCGCCTTCTGGCCCCCTCGCTTGTTCGCTCAGCAAGCATGCTTGGCAAGTTTCAGGGAGTGCAGAAAAACACTTGCGGAGGAGCAAGTGCCCTCTGCTTGCAATGAATTGCCCTTGCCTTGCTGGGGACTGTGGGGCAGACGCTCGTTTTCTTTAAGTTCTGCAAACTCACAGTCCAACCTCATACTTTTAATGTCTACTAAAGTGGGAGGAGGAAAAGGAAGGAGAAGGTTAATTGGAAAGGATTGAAAAGGAAAAAGAGGAACGCAAAACATTTTTGACAAAGGTCCTTAGCTGCAACAAAGAAGTTATTTGATCCTGTGCAGAGCCACCTGTCCTCTCCTTAGTGGTATCTGAGCTCAATTTCCAGAATCCCTGTTCCCACACAATTCCTCAGGAACCATGGCAGTCTCCGTTCCTTTTGCCCAAGGCTTGCTTCCCCCAGCTTGGGATGGTTTTTCCCATGCCTAGTTTGTTGTGGTATTTACATGAAGTTGGAAAACAGCCCAGTATTGAAGTTTTAGGGGCACAAGTAGCGAACTCCCTAGTTATTTAATGAATGGACAACTTTTCATCTCACAGCTATGTATGTCTACTAATTTTTTTGGCCTGTTCAGAACTTAAAAAGAGGGTGGGATGGAACAAGGGAGGAGATGAAGGAGAGAGACAGGATCATTGTTCATCCAAAGAACGAGGACAGTTTCCAGAATCTAGCAAGTTGTTTCACTGCAGTCAGAACAAGGATGTAGGGAGGAATGAGATGGCGGTGTTATTGGCATGGGTTAATCCCTACTTTGAGTTTCTCTTGGGGAAACCTGACTGTAGAATCCAGGCAGGGTGAATCGCACCCATCAGCCAATTTGTCATCTCAGCCCGGCAGCTCCAGCTGGATTTACAGGGTTAACTATCAAACAGACCTGTGTGTCATCAGCTCAGCAATGAAATTCAATCTCTTTGCTGATGAGTGATCTGTCCCTAGGGCTGCACAAATGCCATACACTGGTGTGGCAGCCCAGAAGAGACCCTTGCCTGCCACTGATAGCCAGAAATTCTGGGTAGCCAAAAATTGCCAGCAGAATTAGAAAGCTGTTTGCCTAGCTGTAAGATTCAGAGGGGTTTGGGCTTCTGCCAGGTTGGCAGAAAAGGAACACTCCTGAAGCCACCACTTCAGGTGTAGAAGGATAGTATTCTTTGAGGGTTCCTAAGACCACGGCTGAGTTAGGCCAAAGAAAAGTGTAAATCTGACTCACCTTGATCAGGAAGTAATTTTAAAATATATGCCAACCTGTCTCTGCATTCTGATCATAAATGGGAAACTTTTATGTACCTTCCTTGAGAAGGAATTTACTCTGTTCCCAGGCAAAAGGAAAAGCATGGCCACCTGTTCTAGAAGCCTGGCCAAAAACAACAGGTTTGCCTGTGGCATTCCCACAACTGCAAATCCACCCCACATGGCAATCCACCCATTGTCCCTACACACAAGAAGAACAAATAGTTCATTCTTGGGCGGGGTGTGTGTGTGTTGAGGGCGGGGGGAATCAGATTCTCTAGGCAAAATTGCCTACTAGACATATTTTGTGTTTCTAACATCCTGGTGACTTTAGAAAAAACTCTAAGGGAAGAAGGTGCATGATGTATTTCTGATCTACTAAAACAAAATGAGTCACATAGCTGCTAAATTCTTGCAAGGCTAGGATGCTGCTGTTTCAGGGAAGCTGTGATCTGTTTGATTAGCTCGTTCTGCATTCTTTAGATTGGAATTAAAATGCCCAAGGACATCTGGCTTAATAACGAAAGTGTTCGTATTAATCTTTCCTCTGAGGATTAGAAAGTCCTTTACAAATACGATCTATTTATTCTCTGCCATATCCCCAGGAGAGAACGAGGTGGCAATTTGATCCTCATTGAACAAATGGTGAGACGAAGGCAGAGAAAGGTTAAGTATAAAGAGACACAGCAAGTTAGGGGCAAGTCTGGGGATGAATACTCACCCACCCAGAAAGACTACCTGTGCAGGTTTAGGATCTCAAATGGCATTCTAGGGATTAAAACAGAATCTCTCTTACAGCATTCTTTTTCTTATCATTCTGTAACTGGCAAGTATATTGTGTCCCAAGTATGTTGTATGGTTTCCTTCATTTGAAAGTACAGACTCTAACAGTTCAAAAGGCAGTTCTGTTCTCATTTCTCCCAACATTGAGATCAGGCAGCTTTTATGAAATCTAATAGAAAGATACAGTAACTAACAGGAATTTTAAATATGCATCTGAGAAATGTTCCCTTTCAACAGATGTTTTAAGTTTTTGCACATGGTTTAGAGAGCTCAATGTCTTCAACATATGTTAAAATTTTAATTTCTTCCCTACTATCTTTCTTTCAGCAAATGTTATAATCATAAGACTTGCTGTCAGTTTAAAGATCCTTGTTGGTCATTTTGAAATAATTTTTTTTGAGTCATGTTTGTAGTTCGCTTGGCTGTAGACCACATAGGCTACAAGCAAATCTGTTAATTGGTAGTTGCATGTTATCCACAGACATTCCAGCAAGTTTTAAGGCAAAGTGCACATGTGGATGTCTCCTGGCTTTGATCGTTTGTGTGGTAAATAGACATCCAAGGTAGCTATGGCAACCTGGGCTGTGCGTTGGTGAAAGGAGGGGATTTGGTTACTGGACAAAGAGTAATTTGTTTGATTAGAAAAAGGTAGGGGCAAATCAGGACATTTTTAACCCGCGTGATTTGAGGATCCCAGTTAAATCAAATCATTCGGATTTTTCTCCATAGGCAAAAAGAAGTAATGGCTAACCACACCAGAGTATCTTGCAGACGTAATTTAAATTCTTTTTAAACAAGTGGTTGCTACTTTCCAAAAGCAATTTATACAATGAAAAGGAAGTACAATATTTCATATAAATGTCATCAATATCCCTATTGTAGTAAGTATGAACGTTTTTATTTTCAGAACTTGATGGGACTTTGAAAGACCAGGATCTGATTAGAGGTGTACATTTCAGTTATCTACCTGCAGGGGTCAGGCTTGAAGTTCTCGTGGTCGGAAGATCAGGCAGCGGACGTCACTGCAGGGAGCCCGAGGCAGAGTTAGAGAGAATTGCTCTGCTTATTTGGAACAATTAGTTAGCGATTCTTTAATCTTGTGACCAAAGCTACTATGAAAATGAGTTCATTCAAGGAAGAGAATATCAAATACGCTGTGATTAAAGAAAGGGCGATAAAGCCAGGTCAAACAGCAATCTAATCTCCGTTTACATATAAGGCAGTTTATCGGGAAGATTCTGGCTCATTATCAACTCCTTTGATTTCACACAAAAGTGAGCTCAGGGGTTTTGTTCTAGAAACTTGTTTGCCCAGTTTTATGAGCTGGCATGTTATAAAAATTTCTTTAAACTAAAAAGGACACAATATTAGGGAGCCATCTGGATCTGAAATATTTTTCCCCCTCTGGAGGAAAATATTCTATTGACACAAGATCAGGATGGTTAATGACCTCCAGGAGGTCAGGTGATAGTAGAAGCACAGAAAATTGAGGCACAGAAGAAAAAGCCAAGAGGGGACTTTCCTGAAAAAAACAAACCAGACCAAAGAAAGTAACTTACCTGCTTTGTGCTATGAAAGAGAGGTTCTGAGGGCCGGGCGCGGTGGCTCATGCCTGTAATCCCAGCACTTTGGGAGGCCGAGGCGGGCGGATCACAAGGTCAGGAGATCGAGACCACAGTGAAACCCCGTCTCTACTAAAAATACAAAAAATTAGCCGGGCGCGGTAGTGGGCGCCTGTAGTCCCAGCTACTCAGGAGGCTAGGCAGGAGAATGGCGTGAACCCGGGAGGCGAAG